CCAATCAAAATAACCAGTTGTTATTTATCATAGAATTCAAGGTACTACTGTAAATTATTTTTGACCAGTATCAGCTGTAACTTCACTTTTATTAAAATATCAGTTGTCTACAAATTTTCTGAGTGAGTGTGTATTACTCATTTTTGACTGGAGTTTACAGCCTAAATGAAAGGTGATGATCAAATTATTCACTAATGTAGTTTTATCAGAGAGTAGATTCTAATGTCTACCTTATAATTATGTTGATTATTTCACGAAAAGTGTGTGAATAAAAAACCTGTGGTAAATTGATTGAAAAACTGTTAAGAATTTTAACCTTTATTATCTTTCAATGGTTAGTTTGTAGGGATTTGGTTTATTTCAAGTTTGTTCACGGATTGATATCATTTAGAGAGATCATTGAAGACCATTAAGAAGTATTGCACAGCTGTTTCATTCTAGTTTGGGACTCACTGGAATACAGCACGGTTTGAAACCAGGACCTTCTTGTCACAAAGTGAACTCGTAGACGATTCAGCCACTGAAACCCGACTCAGTGGCCAGGCCATTAATTTTCAGTTTAAGCGCTACCACCAGTGGACGTTATCGGTGATCCCGGAAGGGTGGATCCCACTTATTTCGACTTCTCACCAGGACTCCAAAAAACTTCTTCCTGTAGCCATTCACCCTGATGGGCGCATACTACTGGTGAGTCTCAAATTGTGACGAAACAGCTGTTCAGTACTCAAGTGCTGGTTATCAATGCCCAACTAACTGATATCAATCCATGGTCAGACCTAAAACTTTTAACATGTTAAAAACGAGAAATAAGTTTAAAACAGTTAGTCCCTTTTATAAATTTTGATAGCATTATTAGAAGACGGAGATTATCTGAAAAATGTGATGTATTAGCGCTATACATTTCGAACAATCTGATCACACATTTACTTGTCAAGTCAATATATATGGAAAAGTTAAATTAAACAAGGTGACAAAAAAAGAATTAAGAATAATTAACACAAACGTTTGGTAATCCAATCAAATAAGGATTACCAAGGTAGGTTAAGAGTAATAACAAACTGTTTTTGAATACACAAGGGGGGCTTAAGTTTATGAATGGCTATAGCCTCAGCGTATTTCAGTAAACGTCCTTGACCGTTTTTATAGATGACCTTAAAGGCTGAGTTAACATCAACCTTATGGTTCATCTCGATTAAATGTTTAGCTATAGACGAAGTTGGTAGTCTGGCACCTGCATCTATGGGCTTGTCACAATTCATCTGTTTTCCTAACCACTTTGGGATATGCTCTCCCACCCTCACGTGCAACGCGCGATTACTCCTCCCTATGTATGTATGTCCACACACACACGAAAATTGGTAAATTGTATGGGATGTGATATAATCACTTGTGCACTTTTGAGGTTTCCAGTGAAGCATATTTTTAGCCTTTTCGACAATTACAAGCTGGGCTGCATAGTAGGTTCTACGGATGATGGAATTCAACCTTTGTCTCAAAATCCTACTATTTATTTCCCCATTATATGGTAATTTGATGAAAACCTTTTTCTTAGGGACAGTATGGATTGTAGGTTTAGAGGCTAGTTGACTTCTACACCTGTTTAAAAACTTCAAAGGATATCCGTTTTCAACAAGAGTATCCATCAATATTTCGTTTTCCTTGTCTATAACATCAGCCGTGCAAATACGCTGAATCCTCTTAAATAGACACTTCACCAAGCCTCTCTTATATTGTAATGGACAGAAGCTGTGAAAATTAAGATATTGCCCTGTCCAAGTGGGCTTTCTGTAGATAGAACGTCTTATTGAGCCATCGTCTCTTCGACTCAGAAGTATGTCTAAAAATGCGAGCTGGTTGCGACTTTCTTCCTCGCATGTAAGACTAATATGATTCTGTACAGAGTTGAGTCTGTCCAATAGACGACTCGCATCTTCATGATCATCGCATATCAAAATGATATCGTCTACATATCTCTTATAGAAAGGCAATTTAGAAATTAAATCAGAAGATAAGTTTTCAACATAAGACATAAAAACATCCGCTAATAAAGGTCCTAATGGACTCCCCATAGCAACACCATCCACTTGTCTAAAATGTTCACCTTCAAACGTGAAATGGACGTTATCAGTACATAATAGTAATAAATCTTTCAAATAAGTTAAAGGAAAAGGAAGTGAAAAACAACTAGAAGATATATAGTCACAAAGAATATCAACAGTCTTAACCAATGGTACATTAGTAAACAAAGAATTAACATCAAATGAATACATTTTCCTATCTTTTATGTTCATATCTACAAGACAGTCAACAAGTTCAAATGTATCTTTTAAAGTAAACTTACATAATTCATTGCGCACTGGACTTAAAATATCAGCTAGCCATTTTGCTAATTTATGTGTAGGCGAGTTACACATTGAAAGAATTGGCCGTAATGGATTATCAACCTTATGAATTTTGGGTAATCCATAGAGGTTTGGAAAGTCAGATCCCATGGGTTTCAAGGAATTAAACTCCTGTTTATCGATAACGTCCAAGCCACGAAGTTTTACTAAATGAGAATTTACTTTTCCTTCTAATTTTCTGATATCATCCGAAGGAACATCGGCTATGAATTTGCTTTTGTCACTAAGGATGGATAACATTTTTGTTTTGTAATCGCATCTGTCCATTACAACTACACCAGATCCTTTGTCAGGTTTCAAAATAACTAAATCGGTTCTGTTACGTAATTCCTTTAGGGCTTTAAAATGAGTTGATATTAAAATGCTTCTTTGTTTCCGACTTGAATTACGGAATTGGTGTGCTACATCTACAAATTTAACTTTCAACCAACTTTGGTCATCTGTCGAGGAAGGAGTTAGGGAACTCAACTGATCATACAAATTTTCAAACTGAGAATCAATTGCTAAGTCCGAAATATTGTTTAATGGGATAGAAAAATTGAAACCAAGTGATAGCACCTCCTTTTCATGTAATAAAAGTTCAACCGATGACAGATTTGTCACATACTTATCAGGATTTAATGGGAATTGGTTTAATTGAAAGTCAGAGGTACAAGATCCAAGCAATTTCAATCTGGTATTCTCTTTCGTCTTATTAACGGCAGAGCTACAAAAATTAATGAACTTGATTTGGCAAATAATGGAGACATCAGACAATATATTTGATGACGATAAATGGAGTTCAATCAATCCACATAACTTCTCATTAGAATTGTCAATGTGAGATTTCGTAAGGCGAATAAGATTTGAAATATTTGGTTGAAGTTTAGAAGATCGAAGAGATTTGTAAAATTCCTTCGGGAATGTGTGAGTTGAGAGACAAGATTTATAAAAATCCAACTTCACCTTTTCAGATGCTACTTTACACTTCAGGGTAAGAAGTCCATCTAACCGTTTGATAGTGTCTGGAGGGAGTCTTCTTTTCAAAAATTTAAAACAGTTAGTCCCTTTTATAAATTTTGATAGCATTATTAGAAGACGGAGATTATCTGAAAAATGTGATGTATTAGCGCTATACATTTCGAACAATCTGATCACACATTTACTTGTCAAGTCAATATATATGGAAAAGTTAAATTAAACAAGGTGACAAAAAAAGAATTAAGAATAATTAACACAAACGTTTGGTAATCCAATCAAATAAGGATTACCAAGGTAGGTTAAGAGTAATAACAAACTGTTTTTGAATACACAAGGGGGGCTTAAGTTTATGAATGGCTATAGCCTCAGCGTATTTCAGTAAACGTCCTTGACCGTTTTTATAGATGACCTTAAAGGCTGAGTTAACATCAACCTTATGGTTCATCTCGATTAAATGTTTAGCTATAGACGAAGTTGGTAGTCTGGCACCTGCATCTATGGGCTTGTCACAATTCATCTGTTTTCCTAACCACTTTGGGATATGCTCTCCCACCCTCACGTGCAACGCGCGATTACTCCTCCCTATGTATGTATGTCCACACACACACGAAAATTGGTAAATTGTATGGGATGTGATAAAATCACTTGTGCACTTTTGAGGTTTCCAGTGACCTTGTTTAATTTAACTTTTCCATATATATTGACTTGACAAGTAAATGTGTGATCAGATTGTTCGAGAAATAAGTTGAAAATACATCACAGAATGTAACAGAAACATCCTAAAGACTGTGTATATATTAGCAATTCATCACACTTATGATTTCAAAGAAACATGTAGTACTAGATAGCTGGAGGTAACCGGCCTCAGGAAGCCTTGCTTCGACCTAAATTTCGTGCTAGTTGGCACTCACCAGTCACAAGGCCTGTCCGCAACCACCTTGAAGGAACTCATATCCCTTATGAGATTCGAACCCGCGTCACCCTGTGGGGCTGCAGTCAGACACGTTACCCCTGAGCTACTCGGGCTCGTCAACGAACACGTAACCTAGGTCACGCAAAGCTTCCTGAGGCCGATTGCCTCCAACTATCTAATATCATCAAATCAATGTGCACCGTGATAGCTAGCTACCTAGAATGTTGGCCACATTGCAAACCTGACTAATAGAATTCATTCTGCACCAAAGAAAGGACTAGACACGTCACACTAGTTACTAGTGTCCAATTAAACATGTAGTACAATGGGCGTTGATGGTTCAGTGGTAGAACGCTCACTAACCATGTATTTGGTCGCGATTCGATTCCCAGACAATATACTCTTAAACCTTATCATAATATACTTGCCGATAGTAGGCGGTGAAAAGAGAGGGATAGTTGGACATGAGGCCAACAATCCCATCCCATAAAAGCACAATAGCACTGCTCCTGAAACTTCAGAGCTGAATCTTGAATCTCTATGTTCGACTGAGAATGCAAGAAAACCCCGGAACAGATTTCCCACCTACCGTATATATGTGTTTTTACTTGAAATATCCATATACTATATTTTATTCGACACTGACGATTTCTATGAAGGACGAAACTATCTTATATATATATATATATTCATATAAACTATCTATTTTTATACCCTTTTTATAGGTACAAAACAGAAGACTAAAGTGATAGAAGACGAACTCGATCCAATATGGAACGAGGTAAAATAACAATTTGTCAGAAATGACCAGCTCATCTTCTTATCATCAATTGTCATTAGACTGTAACAGTCGATTTAAAAGGGAAGCCTTTAGTTGCATCAGACAAAATACTTCTCAAAGTAATGGATTTCGACAAAGTCACACCAGACAAGTAAGTAAGATATTGATGTTTTTCTCCTCTACATTTTGTTTATTTTGCTGGATTCTTTTACATGTGTACATAATTGAAAGTGCATATTATTATTATTATTATTATTAACTATTAGAGGGGCTTGTGTCTAATATACTTTTTGTTTGTTTTGTATTTTGCCCTATTGTTGTAGTATTTAGTGCCCAAAATCAATAATTCCCTTAATCATTCATGCTACAGTCTTTTATTCTTAATATTATTAGATGGGATATATTCAAAATTTAAATTTTCAAAAGATATTTGACAGATAGTAACTATTTTTCTTTATTCCTTTACATTCCTAGTGGGACATAAGGGCTTCAAGCTAGAAGCTTGAAGTTTCTGTAGCAGGGGTGTTTATTTTTACGGGATAAGGTTGCTAACCTCATGCCCAACCTCTCCTCTTTACCAGTCTTATTACTGGCTTAGTGAGGTAAAGGAGTGCGTTTGAGGCCGAGGATTGAACCTTGGACTACATGCGTGGTTGGCGAGCATCCTACCGCTGTGTCACTGACTCACCAGACAGTAACTTTACAGCATCTGATACTAAGTTTTCTTTAGATATGATGGAGAAGATTTGTAGCTCAGGTGGATGATTTTGATGTGGTTGTGTTCTCTGAGCTGGATAGTTAATTTACGAAGCTTTCATTGCCCGACTTACTGGGCAACATCTTCAGCACATACTATAGTTTGTTGAAGTGAGCTTTCAGATTTTTCTACGAGCTTATTAGTCAGTTCTCCTGGTGACCTTGAAAATCGTGATTGGTTGTATTTGTGTGTTTTCACACCCTCTAGGCTAACTGTATTGGAACTGATTGTTTCTTTGACTTGGACTTTGGCACTTTGTGTGTATGAGATTTCCTTCTAATCGGTTGGTAAATGTTGTCTATCTCGATGTGTCTATTGATTGCCAACTCACTGAAATACCAGGCTTCTAAAAATTTTCTGGCATTCTTGGTGTTTCCTCTGTCTAATATTTGAACGTTGGTTGTCCCAGTCGAATTGATGTCCATGGTTGTCTGTATGTAGTGATATGAGGGAGTGTATGTCACATATTTTGACGGCTAGCTTATGTTCATGGATACGAAGGGGATGTTCACTTAGGTCAATGTAGTGTTTCCGAAGTTGTTACGAAAAAAAAACAACCAATCATGACGTTCAAGGTCACCAGGAGAGATGATCAATAAACTCTTGGAGAAATCTAAAAGCTCGCTTTAAGAAACTCAAGTATGCGCTGAAGATGTTGCCCAGTAAGTCGGGCAATGAAAGCTTCGCAAATTAACTATCCAATTCAGAGAATACAACCACATCAAAATAAGTTTTCTTTGTATATTGGCTTAGAGAAGATCCACTGAAAGGTAAGTAACACAAGACAAAAGGTAGTTTGAACTGATTCAGCTGTCTAAGCTTAGTTGAATGGGTTACACTGCTGATGCGCTTGGCTCCAAACGGGTGAAATAGCTGTATGGTGTTTAGATAACTTCGATCTAGCTGGTGAGCAAGCACTACTGGTTAATGAAGCGAGTGGCGTTCAAATATTTATTTCAGTCATTCAGTCAGTAGAATATAACATCATACAATTAGGTTGAGTTTTAACCTGCCACTCTTTAACAGTGAGTAATCACAATTTCGCAAAGCACCTAACTTATATAACCCTTGATTTTCAAGTGTTAGTTTGAAGGGGTTTGACTGGTTTCAAGTTTGTTCATGGATTGATATCAGCTGGAGAACCAGTGAAAACCAGGGGATACTGGACAGCTGTTTCATCCTCGTTCGGGAATCAAACCAGGATGAAACAGATGTCCAGTATCCGCTGGTTTTCACTGGTTCTCCAGCTGATATCAATCCGTGGTCGAACTCGTATAAACAAATCTAATCCTTACAAAGCAACTCTGGAAAATTAATCTGATGCTGGCTAGTGACTTGCTACAGGACAGTGTTTCCTGGAGTTCTAGTGAGAAGTCGTGACCAATGAGATCCAACCAGTGAAATGTGAGGTTGGATTTTCCACTAATGACATTGGTTAGTGGTCACGCTAAATGCATCACGAATTGGTAGAAGTTAGAATTCATGCGGTGGCCATTGAATCGGGTCCCAGTGACTGAATGGTACACGAACTTGTCTTGTAACCGGTAGACCCTGGGTTCGATAAATCTCAAATTAGGATGGAACAGCTGTCCAGTATTCCTTGATATCAATCCGTAGTCGAACTCGTAAAAACAAATTTAATCCTTACAAATCAACTCTTGAAAATAAGAAAGATAGTAATGCAGATAGCTTTTAAATAAGGTATATGAAATATGTACATTCGTCAACTGATAACTAAACACTGACCTTTGTGGTATAATCTTTTAAAGAAACCGCACACCTAGTAATTTATCATTAACTCTGACAAGTATTCAACTTTGAATCACTTAAATTATTGAACACTATACAGTCTACCTATATATTTTCTTCTGAATTTTATGATTAATTATTGTCCCTGTGTTTAAATTTATTAGATAAATAAAATAGTATTACAATTGAATGTTTAATAAAGAAGAGTCTATGGGCTTTAGTGTTTGTTTAATACTTGTAAATGATTAAAAAAACTGGCGTATAATTAATTAGGTGTCTTATTTTGCATACTCAATAATTAATGAATAACCCTCGTTTAAAGTACTTTAATCAGACTCATATTTTTTCAATGGAATGTTGTTATCTAACCAGTGATGAAATTTATCTGATATCAGTATTAAGAGCGCATATGAAGTAGATCAACTTTAGAATGAAGTCAGCATACCATATAACATGATAGATCTGAGCTTTGGTCACACTACCTATTAAGTCTTTAGCCTGACCCACAAAACATGGTGACCAATCTGCTGTTAGCACGTCTTAACAATTAGTGTGGGGAGAATACACAAAACGGTAGTATAAGTGGAATAAAGAGGCATACAACCACATTACAACTTTGCAACCGAGTTCTTGTCTCTTGAAAATTCAACTGTTCACAGTGTGATTCAGTTAGCAGAGATAAACAAATTGATCGTGGGAGGCGGACTAGAGAAGACAGGAATTTACGGCGCTTAGGAGGGCCTTAAGCAGTCTGGTATATTCATTGTGTATTATGAATCTGAAACATGAGGCAGAAGAACATAAGAAACTGGCCAGCAGAAAGTATGTATCCCTAGTAGATAAGTAGCAGTACCAATAGTATGACAAATTTGACAACCAACGCATTGTTTGATCAAAGTAGTGAGTAGTCGGGCTGACACCCAAGTATGCAGAGGATATCTCTGAGATAAAACGGTGATTAACTGCATAGTGGACATATTTTCAGTCAATAAAATGCATTACTATTTAGACAGTATATGATAGTGACTGTTTCTTGTAGGAATTTAATTCCCAACTCATATTTGAAGGGAGAAAATAATTTTTGTCTGTGTTAACTTGAACTGATACGCTTCTGTGCATAATCAATCTGTATAGTACTGTCAGTATTTAAGGAAAATGCTCCTTCTATCTTCACTTCTATATTTTTCCATCATTTTCCTCGAAAAACATGCAGCAAGAGGTTGAAGACTATTTAGAAATGTTTGTGGGTGCAGATTACAAATTAATTGAATGATTAAAACAATATGAAATAGGAAAACCATGATGCATCGTGCAGAGTGGAAAGTTTAAATAGTCTAGTGGTTTAAACAGACAACCGGTTATTGATGTATTGAACAATTATCTAGCCTTCGCTTGATTACAGTGCTGTAATTTAGATGCCACTGTTGTCCTATATCCTAACACTGTCACCAGTTTAGACAGAGGTGCTAAATAGGTTTGGTATGCCTTCCTTGATTACACATATGCCTTTGACTCTGTACAACTAGGCCTCTTTTATTAAACAGGCTTGCTGCGAAAACATTGGCTAAAAGTCGCGCTTTGTCGTGAATTGGCAGAAGTTAGAATTCATAGGCTGGCTATTGAATCGGGTCCCAATGTCTTAATGGTCTACGAGCTCGCCTTGTAACCAGAAGGTCCTGGGTTCGACCCCTAGCGGGGGTGCATCCTGTTGAAGAGTTCCAAACCAGGCCGAAACAGCTGTCCAGTACTCCCAGGTTGGTTCTCCAACCAATGTCAGATCATAATGAAATCCTGTAACCAATCAACCAAATCCCTACAAACCAATACTTGAATATAAATGAGATGCTCACTGGTGACTGGCCCTATTCAAGTAGGTAGTTACCTGGGGTTTCAGTGGGAAGTCGTGACCGGTAGGGTGCACCAGGTCTGGTGTGAGGACAAATACTCGCCGAAGACGTTGGCTAGCGGTCCCGCTATGTCGTGAATTGGCAGAAGTTAGAATTCATAGAATGGCCATTGGATCGGGCCCAGTGGCTTAAAGGTCTACGAGCTAGCTCACCTCGTAACCAGTGGTGGGTGCGTACTGTGAAGAGTCCCAAACTAGGACGAAACAGCTGTCAAGTACTTCCAGGTTTTCCAGTCGTTCTCTAACAGATGTCAGCTCATGATGAAATCCTGTAACCAATCAGTCAAATCCCTACAAGCTAATATTTGAAAAACTTGTATTGTATCTTTCTTCTGTTTACTTCTGGTCTTCATATATCCTGTTAGTTCCTAGGGTGATATTTCGTCTAACGTTCTATGAGGTAAAGAAGTGAAGACAGTCTGGTATCACTCAATCTGTAATTGTATAGTTTGTTAGTTATTGTATACCACCAATTCTTCTTTGTTGCTCCTTCGTTTTGTTAGAGTGTAAAAGGCATTAAAAGCTGTCAGTAGGGTAAATGGGGTACTGCTAAACCAACTTATTAATACTGTTGCGGACAGACACTTGAACTAATGCAAGAAATCGGCGAATATCAATCTTTTTATGCACAATTCTCTTCTGGCATTTCATCAGGTAGAATTAGAAGCATTTGCGAAGCGACTTCATCCTCGGACGACTGAGGATGAAGACGCTACCATACCTTATTTGGCACACATTT